GGCAAGACAAGCTAGATTTCTATAATCACCTGTGAGCCCATTCCTTGTTTCATGAATTAATCATAGTTATTAAGTGATGGTTCTGTGTTGCATCTGAATCGGCTCTAATACTTGGTCAGCAAGTAGTTTTCCTACCAAGGTTTTCCACCCTCACTGGAGGGGCTCTATTTAAGAAGTTTCACCTTAGGTGGTAACAAGAGCCATTTGTTCAGATTTTTGACCTAATACTTGCCATGCTGGACTGTTTTAAATCCCTACTCTGCCATGAAACTTGCTGGGTGGTGTGGGAGACAATTATTTGCTGTCAGACTAACCATCTCACAGGGTGGTTATGAGAACAAAACAGAGGAAGGGGTGATCGTATACACTGCCTTGAATTCTTTGAAGAGAATAACAATTATTTTGAGTTATCCCCTTATTTCCTTTTTTCTTATGCAACTCAATTATTTTATCAGTGATACATTTTCTGAGATAGTGAACTATTTTACATCAGTTAGCTTGAGAAAGTGCAAGCTAAATAGTCTATTTTTCCTACTAGATTTTAGAGGCATTGACTAGTATTAACAAGATAGTTTAATTTCTTACCATTTACGTAAGATATACCAAAACAAATACTATTTGGAAAAGATGATCAGGAAAATAGAGTAAGTAATAATAAAACAAATTGGTTGGCCTTGAGGTTATTGAAAGACATATTTTAGACAATAATCAAACTTTAAGATTTTGTGTTTCAAATAATCTTTTCTTTTAGTTTAATTTACAGTAGCAGATCTTTTAAAATGTTTTGAACATAGCTTCTTATCAATACAGTACTGGGTGGCTATCAATCAGTCTCTTGTGTTGAAAGCCTATAGTAACAAACTTGTATTTTAAATTTAACAGAGTGACATAAAAATGGTATCCTCAGCAATTATGAAAACATATAGACTTAGATTCAACAGTTCCAATGCAAGGAGTGTCCTAAGGTTGAAGTGTTGTGTTCCACCATCACAAGGCTTCTTGCACCAATGGAATGCTGCTTGCGTCACAGAAAAGCTCTACCATTACTGGAATGGAAATGTTGGGAGAATCTACTGTCTTTCTATAATATGTGAACTAATAGTAGGCATGTAAAATTGTGAACTTCCTTTACTTAAGAGTAACTCTTTTGATTATAGTACAAATTACTTCCAAGTAAGTATGCATAGGATTTAAGACTTGAGAAATATGGTGCTAACTGTACACAAACAAATACTTAACTGTTTTGCCCCTATCACCAACACACAGGTAGAGGATTATAAAACTGCAAGTGGAAACCCACAAGGACTTAAGGGAGGCATCTTACTTCCCCCTCTCGCACTATTTCCTGTTTCCCTTTCCTGAAAGCTCCCATAGTCTCTCCCCTTTCCTGCTTCCTTCACTCCTTCTAGAGTTTCCAACCTCTGAGTGGGGGCTGGGGATCTCCTGGAACCACAACAGATCTCACAACTACAGAGATCATTTCCCCTTAGGGTTGCCAGAATGAGGTTGGGAAATCCCTGGAGATTTGGTGGTGGAGCCTTGGAAGGGTACAGTATGGGGAGGGAAGCAACCTCAAATATAGAAGCTGTAATGATGTACAAGACACTTATAGTCTCACCATAATGATACAAAAATAAACAGTCAAATTGAAAAATATTAATTCCCAACAGGTATCAGAAAGATGTACGATCTTCTCTGGAGTTTTGGCATTCGTTTCGTGAAGAACTTCTTCCAAACATCAAGATGTGCTATGCAAAACATAATATACAACATGATATACAAAATGTGTACCCTTGTACAGGCAGTGTCTGGGCAATAATATTTGTATAAAGCTTGTATACATACATAGTGTTGCTTCTTATTCCATAATGTGTAAATCCAATACAAAGGTATTAATATCTAAAATGAAATTAGTACCTTTGTACGAATGCCAAAACTACAGAGAAGTTCGTCCATCTTTCTGATACCTGTTGGGAATTAATATTTTTCAATTTGACTATTTTTGTATCATTTTGGTGAGATTATAAGCGTCTTGTACATCATTACAGCTTC